GTGTTCACACATGACACATTACATGGTAAAATTCTGTTATTTTGGCGTTGTTGTCGTGGTGTCTTAATTACTCACACAGAGATGTGTTGGCTCCGCTTAGCACCCATCCGGCCGAATTCGAGAGAAACGCGTGATGGAAGAAGACAGGATGATTTCTGGTGGGTGCCTGTCCATTCTTACTTCTGGGGATGCGGTGCAATTCAAGAATGTAACCATCCTCCGTGATGACGTGGTGGATTTCGACGGCGTATCCGTTTTTCTTGATGATGTCCACCTATATAGTACACACAATATTTTAACAAATCGAAATATTTAAGGATTACTATTATATTATATTATATATAATTTATGTACAATACAATTATAACCATAATACGATGTTATACCGTTATTATATTAACGAAGATCATAAATCAATAATATTTAATTTAACACAATAAATTGTTTTTAAGAACAATAATGCGAGTTTTGACAAACGTTTCTGTATAAAAATATTATATTATTATATATTATGAGTTTGCAAAATTTTCTATTTTCCCTGGACTTTTTTTCTTGGCTATTTTTCCGTGGATTTTTTTTCTGACTACCAATTTAGGCATTTATTGTTATTGTTATTAAACTTTTCCTTTATTATTATGCAACACCTTTCAAAAAAAAAAAATGTATCTTATCCTAATGGCCAAGTTGCCAAGGGTTATTTCTTTAATAAAAAAAAAATAAATACTTACCTAGAGAACCTATTGAACCAGAATCGATATAAGCACCTATACTAGTATATTATAATAATGGATGTTTTGACGTAAACAAAAGAAAACGCAGACTGTTTTTATTAAATGCTACAAAAAATGTAAGATACGAAAACATTTTTCAACCGACACAGAAAAGTATTATAGACAAAAATATTATTATAATTGGCAGTGAACGGAGTACCTTTATATTATGCAGTTATAGCAGTCTGCAAAATGTAAACTAGTAGATCACAACCTAACTAAATATCGATTATTCGTTGGCATATTTGTTTCTCTCCTCGACACATGTGCCAGGTTTAAAATTATAATTTATGTAATATAATTAACGATGCACTAAATTATGTGTATTTATATCAATCACGCTGGTTAGTCACATATAGTTCCTATATTTACCTACAACAATATAAATAACATTTTAATAAAATGATACTATATTTATTCATTCGAAGACACCTGATGTACATCGATAATTTACAAATATATAACTTGTTTTTTATTGCTCATTTACTCGTATTGAATTTAAATAAAAAAATATTTTCTGGAATGTTCGAAGAAATATATTGAACTTTATAT